AAAAAAAAATAATAATAACGCGTTTTTTATAACTTCAGCAGACGTGCACTTTACTGTACTAAAATTGAATGTACTATAAAAGTGCGTAGTCGAATTTATTTTGAAAATTCTTATTAAAAGGTTTGAAATTTTGAAGCAATTTTGCTGAACTCTCCTTAATTGTGTGCATAACTCGGAAAAAATTTACCATGAAAAACATGAAAAAAACGAATGTGAAAAAAATTTTTGCCAGTCACTGTAGATGTTAAATACACCGCACATGCACAACGGTTGTTTAGATGCGAAACACACTAAAATTCAGCATTTTAATTATATGTATAAAAAAAGGTTACCTAAAAGCGTTAAATTGAGCACTGATATGCTACGCTATTATTATTTTTACTTTTACTGCTTTTATAATAACGTTTACGTTTTTTTTTTCTCTCTTTATCATTTTCACCTTCAAAGCAGCATTTTTTTTTCTCATTTCCGCCAAGCTCGTTTTAGTAATTTTTTAGAGAAGATTTCTCCTTTATCCACAATAAAAAAAAAACGATACCTCAGTAACACAGTAACTCCACTCACTCTTCTACTCACCTCCAAATTGAGTGTATCTGTTAGTTTGTCACTCAGTTCGGTAGCATTGAACTGCAGTAGACCTCGCGCTTGACCCAATTTCAGCAATTCTTTGGCATAGCCCACAGCCGGTTTGACATATTGGCGCGAGTCGATCTTTACATTGAGATGATGCTTGGCCACATGATCGAACAAATTGGATATGGTCTCGCTGGCGCGACTAGGATCGAAGAAGGTACTCTTGGGATAACCTTGAGATTTGAGAAAACCGTTGAACATCAATTGCGCTGTCTGGAAATATCTGTGTAGCGAAAGAAGAAAATAATTTAAAAAAAAAACAGAAAATTATTTTGAATGACTCCGAGGAAATGAAAATAAACCCGATTGTTAAAATGATAAATAAATTAGTGCCTAAACGCGTACATAAACATACATATTTACATATACACTCATTTAAAGAGGTGAACGTATATGTATACATAGGTGGTAAAGGGAAGTTACGCGGTTCACTCGCAGCCAAAGTGAAAGTCAGTTCCAATATTGTGAATAGCAGCAGTCACTTTTTATTTCAACTGCGCGCATTCTACCAAAAAGTAATTTTGTATTTTTCCCCCCATTTATTCATTGGCTGCTAGAAAGTGTTTCTCCGCTTCACTGGTGAAATTTTAACCAAAGGAAAACAAGAGTTGACCACTTAATCATTATGAATCATTGATGAAATATTTTTTTTTATCAGTTCGTTTGACGGTACATATGTACATACCCATGTATGCATAGTAAACGTAAAAGAGAAAAGAATTTCATGATTTTAAATTTACAAAAAAAATGCAGCCTATGTTAGCCATTTTCAGAACACTGTTAAAGCGGAGAAAAAAGTATTGCTATCACCAAACGGTGTAATGTAAAAAAAAACTATACTCAAGCTTATCATGAGTTTCATTTTCCCCGAACCGGTTCACTTTTCATACTTGGCTTCCATGGTTTTACTATGGGCCGATGACAAATTTTCGGGTGAATTTTTTTCAGACGAAACTCAGGATAAGGGTGAATAATAAAATACACAGAAATATGGATCGTGAATGATTTAAAAATATAGATTTTTGAGTTATAGATGTTTTTGGTTTAGTTTTCTAGTAAGTCGTAGTTGTAATATAAATAAGTTTAATCGAAATTTTAATTTTTGACTTTTACTGATAAAATTATGTAACTTGGCGAGACATTTATTTAAAGACTTTTGCAAGCGAACTGCATTTTCAACAAATTAGCAGCAATTTAAATTTGTTTGTTTTTTTAATGTTGTTTAGACTTTATGCAGCTGCTATCCTCTGAGAATACAAATATTTTTACCTAAAAGCAATTAACAATTAAACACAAATATACTGGCTTCGCATTATCTGCAAAGTCTGATGACAAACATTTTCAGAAGAGCAAAAAATGAATATGTACATATATGTGCATACATACATACACTTGCGATCAGCTAATTAAGCCAGCAAGGCTTTGATCATTTTGGCTATTTTTGTTTTTGTTATTTACATAATTTTAATATTTTTTTTCATAAAAGTCTAGCTCATTATATAAAAAACACAATAAAAATTTAAATTTCAAAGACGGTGCAAAAATTATGAAAAAGAACCTTTTTTTTTAAATAGTGCTACTCGAATAATCGAAATACTTCCTTAACAAAAGTTAAATGATTTACGGCTTCGACATAACTTCCATGGAACCGCGACATAAGTTCCATGAAAGCTATGTCGAGAAATCAAAACATTTGAAAAACACGTATTTATAGTCCGATTTGGTTCATATTTACACCGTATATTAACTACATGAAAAGGAATAACTTTACTAAGAATTTTGCCGATAGGTGGCGTATGAGTCTATACATTTGCTTTAAAAATATTTGTTTTTACTATTAATTTATTTCTTTTTAGGAAATGTTGAATGATTTTTCAGTTTTCAGTTTATAATGCTGCAAAGCGTTTTTCTACTAACGGGAATTTCTTCCGTTTCCTTTTGCTTCTCATCTCTGAAGAGCATGCTATTTCTACCTGATTTTCACGAGTTAAGGATGCTGGTTTTCATATCAGCCGCCGGTCAAGAAAGGATAAACTATTCAGCGGGAACAAATAATATCGAAACATTTTTATCGAAAGTGGCTTTGTAGAAGTCAATCGAGAATGCTTCATTAGAAAACGAATAAGAGAACGATTACTTGATCGAATTTTCTAAGAATAATTCAATCGCAAAAGCTTCTGACGAGTTTAAAGAATTTCACAATTCTGTAAGTCTGAAAATCTGTTTCAATACTAAAAATTTGTCACATTGAAATTTTGCATCAAATTTCGCTGAAATCGGCGTTTCATTTATTGGCCGCGAATTGGTTTTTTGCAATTATCTTGGAAACGAAAAATTATCCAAAACGAACTTTATCACCAATTATAGGGCCCATGGAAGTAATGTCAGTTACCTGCCCCTTGATTTTTGGTGAGCTTAAATTTACTGACATTAGGGTGGTACCTTAGGGTGATTTAGAGCTGTGATCTAGTGGGTAAGTACTGGAACGGGACACTTGAGGTCAATGGGCTTTGGAACAAAAGCACATTGGCTACTCGAGACAAGAACATCAGTATACCATACTTTAAGACTCGACTGTAAATTCCGAAGATATGAAAAAAAAAATGTAAAAAGTCGACCCCTACAAAAAAAAATATTTTTTTTTTCTATATTCTTTTGCTAAAATAATTTGGCCCTTACGACGAAAATTTTTTCCGGTAC